TGAGCTGTGTAAGATCTTGGGGATCTGCGGGTGCCTGGGAACATCCGATGGCTCCAGGGCCTCCCTCTGCTTCCCGGAGGAGTTCCGGAGAGCGCCTGGACCTGTCAGACCTGTGTGGCCTTCCCGGGGCAGGGACACATTCCAGCCGTTCCTGCAGGCTGAGTCACACGTGGCTCCTGCGGCTCCCGGCTGAGATCCTTCACCCTCATCTCCACTTCCGAAGGTGAATCATTCCCGTGGGAGGGAGCTGGGAATCGCCTATCGCACTGGGAAGGCTCAGCCCGGGGCAGGGACCACAACGGCGCTGTTTTCCCACATTCCCAGGGAAAGATGGGAGCTCTGGGCATGATCCTGGACAGCCGAGAGGTTGTGCTGGTGCCATCCCAAGGAGCTGATAACATCCCAAATCTCCTGGCTCTGGTTCTGGGAATGCCATCCCAAGGTGCCAGTCCCATCTCAAGATGCCAATGCCATCCCAAGCTTTCCAGCTCCTGTTGAGCCAATACCATCCCAGTGTGCCCATGCCATCCCTCCCCTCACATCTCTGGTGGTTCCGCTGTCATCCCAAGCCACTGATGCCATCCCAAACCTCCCAGCTCCAGTTGTGCCAATGCCATCCCAAGGTAATGATGCTATCTCAAGGTTCCAATGCCATCCCAAGGTGCTGATGCCATCCCAAACTTCCTGGCTCTGGTTCTGCCAACGCCATCCCCAGGTCCCAGCACCATCCCCAGGTACTGATCCCGTCTGCAGGTACCGGTGCCATCCCCTGCCCAGCTGCGGGAGCGGGCGGATTCCCGGGCGGATTCCCGGGCGGATTCCCGGGCGGTCGCCGCGTGGGGAGCGGGGCCGCGGGCGCTGAGTCAGCGCTCCGGAGGGTGCGGAGCCGCTCCTGCCGGGCAGGCACAATGGGAGCGCTGGATAAACAGGCTGAACAAGGACAAACAGCTCCCGCGGGGGCACTGCCAGCATTGTGACCGGCCGGATTAATGGCCCGGACACTGAGAGCCTCTGTTCCACCGCCGGCTGCTTTCCGGGGGCTTTTTCCTGGCCGGACACCCTTTCCTGGCCCTTTGCCCTGCTCCGGTGGCTCAGGGAGAAAGGAAGGACACAGGGAGGAATCCCAAGCCTGAACACCTTGGTTGGATGGCTGGGGAAACCTGCCTGGGGATCCCACCTCACCTGTGCTGGGAGGGTACCCTGAACCTCCCAGCCCATTCCTGATGCCATTTGGGAATGCTGCTCCCCCAAGAGTCACCCTGACAGCCTCCTGCCCTTCCCCAGTCAGCCAATGAAAAACCTCAGAGGGATCCAGAGGGTGAGAAGGAGAACCAAAGCATGGGTTTGGGGTCCCACTGCAATGCCCTGGACAGATCCCTAGAAGGATTAGGAGAACCAGAGTATGGATTTGGGGTCCCACCTCAAAACCCCAGAGGGATCCCAAGGAGAAGGAGGAGAACCACAGTGTGGATTTGAGGTTTCTGAGGGCACAGCCAGACGTGCAGCCGTCCGAGTGCTCTCCAGGCTCCGGTCACCACAGCTGAATGATCCCTGTGTCCGTGGCACGGGTGGACGTGGCTTCCCATGACCACAGCAGGTCATGGAGAGCTGGGAAACCCCAAAACACCTGGCACAGGAACCTGCCAGAGCCACCACGGGGTCGGCTCCAGAGCGGGATCAGCCCCTCTTCTCCATTCCCAGGGAGAATTCCTGCTCACTCTGGACATGCTGATCCCTGCTCTGCCACCGCTGGATAACGATAAAAATATATTTAATATAATCTGGTGCTAACTGATCCATTATTGACATTATCCCGGGAGCTGCCAGCCTGGAGCCGGCGGCATTCCAGCAGCCAACAAAGCCCTTGTTAGTGGCCAGGCTTGGACTGCTCCAAAATCCTTTACTTATGGAGGTTTTAGGCGAAAAAAGGGACATAAACAGAAAAGGGGGAGTAAGGAAAAAGGGGAGGGAAGGGAGAAAACCCTGAGAAGTTATTTAGGAAAGGAAGAAAGAAAAAAACCTGGAATAAAATGGACATTCACAGGGAAAATCCTGGCTATGAAAGAGCCTTTTAAGCTGGTGGAAAAACAGAACCTGTAAGATAAAGCCAGGAAAAAATTCCCAATAAAGCCCCATTTCTAGGGGGATGGAGGAGACATCAGAGGTGATGCCTGTCAGATAATGGGATGGAGATGCCCCGGGATGGGTCAGACCCCCAAAATTTGGGACTGGGGAGATGTTGGAGGCACTGCCCTTCCAATAACAGCCCTGGAATGGGCCAGACCCCCAAAATTCCGGGATGGGGCAGCAGCGATCGGAGCATCCCAGGGCTGGGACTCTCCAGGGCAGCAACAGCAACGTTCCTGACCCTGGGAATAACATTTAATTTATTCTCAGCCCATATATTAAGAAAATAAACACGGGGGGGGAGGAGCTGTTCCCCCCCTCTGCCGCCGCCTGATTGATTTCAGGGCTCCTCGGAGCAGCCAAACCCATCCCGGCAGCGACAATTTGGGATTGTGTGAGGCGGCGGGAAGGGCCAGGGGGAGCCCAGGCCGTGTTTTCCCTCTGCCTCATTTTCACCTTCCCGATCCAAAGCAAACAGGCGGCCGGAGGCTTTTCTGCTGGACACGAGCACACACAGCCCCCTTGTTCCTCACTTCTCTGGGCAGGGAGGGAAACGGGGGGACTGGGGGGATTTTTTCCTGTTTTTTCATCGCCACGTCGGAATATCGGTGATTAAAATCATGGGAGCACGAGAGGGATGAGAATCCTCAGCAAGGAGGATATTCCCTGTCCAACCCAGGGGGGTGGAGTTGTCCCCATGGGGGCACAGAGGGTGTTTGGAGGCAGAGGATTCCCTAAATCCCCAAAATCCCGTCTTTTGGGTGGGTTTTCCCATCAACTGCTGGATGGAGGAGTCTGCAGTGTCACCCTCCAACCTGGATAAATCCCTAAATCCCATGTTTTGGGAGAGTTTTCCCACGGGTGACTGCATGGAGGGGTCTAAAGTGTTGCCTTCCAGCCCAAATAAATCCCCAAATCCCACATTTTGGGTGGTTTTCCCACTGGCTGCTGCATGAAAGTGTCTGAAGTGTCACCTTCCACCCTGGATATCCCACAGGCAGGGAAAGAGGATGGAATGGGGGTTGAAGGTGAAGGGGTTTATACACTCTTTTTAGGGATTTACCCTAAATTGATGGATTTATCCCAGATTCAACTCAGCTATGATGGATCTGCAGGATCTGCCCCTGGGAATGACCCTTTAATCCCAAACCTAGCATAAACTATGGACAAAGAGCAATTCCAAAAGGAAAACCCAACCCCTAGAGGCTCCCAGGGCAGGAACAATTAAAGAATCCCAATTTAATTATCCTTATAATCCCACTGTAACACCTGGCTTGGGTTTGTGGTTTTATAACTCAGGGAAAAGGGACTGGAGCCCTGGAACTCCTGGAGCCAGCACTCGGAGAGGGCTGGAGTGTGTGGGGCAATGTTCTGGGTACTGCTTCCAAAGGGTGGGGATTGGGAATGTTGGTGGGGGTCACCTTGATCACCCAGGGGTGCTGGGAGCTGTTGGGAATGCTGGTAGAGGATGTTGAGGAGTGTTGAGAATGCCAGTAGGTGCTGGGAATGCTGGAGGGTCCCAGGAAAGCAGGTATGGGGAGAACACCCCACCTTTCCCACACTGGGATTGGCTCCCAGGGTGTTTTCCCTTTGGATGGCTGGGACAGGAATCCTTCATGGGGGTGGTGGGACCCCACTGAGTGTCACCACCCCAGGATCTGACAGCCAGATTTGTCCTGTCTTGGGGGATGTATCTGCCTGGAGCAGCTGGGAAAGACTTGGGACGGTTGGGATGAGCCCCACTGGGTGGAGATGCTGTGAGTGCCTGAAGGAACAGGGAGTCCAGGATGTGCAGCCCACAGGGCCCCCCATGATCCAACAGGCTTCAGCGGGATTTGGGGATGGTCATGGCACTGGGATGCTTGGGTTCTAGGGTAACGTTCCAATGGATTTTGGGGTGCTGGGGTTTCAGGATCAGCAGCGTTGGGAAGAGCTGGCTCCCAGCCCCTTCAAAGAGCTGCTTTCAAGTGCAGAGGGGAGATGGTATCACCTGGGAACGGGGAGGGCTGGGCCCCGCTCCCACCGCAGGGCTGGGAGCAGCTCCCACGGGACGCCGGCACAGCCCGGCACGGCCGCGGGGGCTCCTGGCACTGGGGGGCCCAGGGGGACCCCCTGCCTGTCCCCACCCCTGTGGGCTTCCATGGGTTAAATATGGTATCCCAGGGGATGACCCTCATGGATCACGGGGAATGTGTCAGCCACCAGATGGATCTGGGCCACCACAGTCTCCTTGTCCCCAGACAAGGTCCCCCAACACATCCCTTTACCTGAAAGGAATCCCGGCTGGGCCCATCGGATTTTGGGATGACCAAAGTTGGGATCAGTGGGGTGGGGAGCCTGTAGATTTTGGGCTGACCAAGGCTGGGATCAGCAGCAGCCGATGATGATGAAGGATGTGCTGGCAGCAGATTTGGCAATCCAGGAGTCACGGGAGAGCACAGAGGGGTGTGGTGGTGGGGGGTCCTGGTTCCTCCTGCTCCCCCTCCATGTGGGGACCCCGCTCAGGGGGTGACACTGAGCTGGGGGCTCCTCCTGGATGTTCCCATGAGGGGGATCCTGAGTCATGCCATAAGGGGGGTCCCAGGCACTCCCGTGAGGGGGGTCCGGGTGATCCCGTGAGGGCTGTCAGGATAATCCCCTGAGGGGGGCCCGGCGCTGATCCCATGAGGGGGTCCCTGCTGCTCCCCTGAGGGGGGTCCCGGACAGTTCCCTGAGGGGGGCTCCGGGGGCGATCCCGTGAGGAGGGGGGGTCCCCGGCTGCTCCCCTGAGGGGGTCGCGGTGGGCGGCGGTTCCCGCGCTGTGCCCGCCCCGGCCCGGCCGGTGCCGCCCATTTCCGCCGGGCGGAGCCGCCCCTCGGCCCCGCAGCGGCCCCGGCGCCACCGCCCGCCCCCGGCCCCGGCGCCGGCCCCGCTCGCTCCGGTGCAGCCCCGCCATGGCGGGCGGCCCGGCCGCGCTGGCCCTCGGTACGTGCGGGGCCGCTCCGGGACCGGGGGGCTCGGGGGGCTCCGGCCCGGGGGTCCGCGCCCCGCCTGCCCCGCACGGACCCCGCCGAGGGGAGCGGGGGGGGACACCCGCAGCCCCCTCCGCACTGGGGGGTTCTCAAGGGTTTGGGGGGCTTGGGGGTGGTTTGTGGTTGTTTGGTGCGTGAATGCCATGAAATCCCATAAAATCCCCCGGGCGGTCGCTCCCGAAGTTCGTTCCCTGTGGGAAGGCGCCTTCGCCGCGACGCGTGAGTACGGCCCCTGCCGCTAATTAGGGCGGTTAATTAGAGCTGGGGGCTATTAGAGCACGGGTGGTGGTTGCCAGGGAAAGGGGGAGCAGTGGGAAGCGGGGGTTCCCCAGGATGGAGCACGGCGATGCTGCGGATGGGACGGAGGCGCTTCCCAGGCTGGAATGGGATGCGTGTGGATGTGGGAGAACGCGGAGCCGGGTCGTGGGTGCCCCTCATGGGATGCCGGGGCACCGGGAAGGATCTCGGTGCAGATGTTTGGACCGCGGTTGGCTTTGTCCCGCCTGTGTCACCCTCAGCTCCGGGGCTCCTCGCCGGGGCAAGGGTTCTTCTATCCCGGTGGGAAAGAGCTACTTGGCAGTGCTTGGGTTCGGGAAAGTGGCTGGAATTGGCCCCGCTCCAGCTCTTGGAGCTGCCGCTTTGGCTCCGGCATGGCCACCGTGTCTCCTGATCCCTCGGGGGGTCCGAGCATCCCTTGGGGGGCTCAGTGACACCCCTCAGCTCATCCAGGGGCTCCCGTGGCCCCTCTGCTCCTGTTGCTTCCCATTCCTGTGGCTCCAGACCTCTCCAACCCCGATGGTTGCCCACGGTGGACATGCGTCCCAGATAAGATGCATCGAGCCAGCGGATCGGAGCATCCACTTGGAGAAGGGAAAACCCCCTCCAGCCCAACGTACATGCACCTAAAGGCTGCCAAGGGCTGGGCTGGAGCTGAGGGGAAATCGGAGCCAAGCGGATCAGGAGGGAAAACTTGGAGCAGGGAACAAGCCCCAGCGATAACGGGGAACTGAGCCCTTTGCTGGGAGGGAGGCTGGGAATTAGTGGGATGTAGTTATTGGATCCGTATCTATCAATCAGAAAGGTATGGGAGTCCCTCGGTGAGCTGGGGGCTCCTGCCAGGAGGGTGAGTTCAGGGAGCTTGGCTGGCAGAGGAGGTGATGGCAAGGAGAGCTTCCCAAATGTCCCCGGAGAATGAGATGGGATGGGACTGGAAAACCAAGCGAGAGCAGCTGCCTGGGCTGGCTGGTGGAGGCAGCTCCGCTCCAGGAGCCAGTCAGACCGAGGGTGTGGTTTCCACTGTGTCCATGAGGTGTCCACATTCCCTCTCTTGGGGAGCCACTGGAGCCCTCGGCTGGCACTGGGGATGGAAAACTGCTGCCAAGGACTGGCACTGGGGACAAGGTGGTCACACAGGGCAAGCTGGGCTTCCCCCTCAGCTGGGCTTTACAGGAGCAGGTGTTACACCTGACAGGGAAGAGACGTTGGGAAGAGGCACTGCTGGAGCTGAGGGGGATCCCAGCAGGAGAACAGACAAGCCAGAAGTCTGGAGGGAGTGATACAGCCACCCCATGGCACAGGGATGAGCCATTTCCCGAATAACACCTGATGTGGAGGGCAGAATATCAGGACAAGCCAGAGTGGAGCTGGAGAACAGAGCATCGTTCAGCACTGAGCCAAAAAAAAAGGGAAAATCTGATTAAATTTCCATGGGAAGAAAATTCCTGAGGTCTCCAACAGAAGCAGGGAAGCTGTGGTCAATTCCTGAAGCTCCAGTGATCCCTGAAGCTCCAGGGCTGCTGGGATTTGCTGGATGTGAAGCCTGAGGGTCTGTCTCGCCTTTCTGCGCCGTTCGATTAAATCCATGCAGGAAACTGGGTCAGATCCAGGGAAGGGGCTGCTGCCTCCGCTGGCTCCACACCCTGGGAAGGCTCAGAGCCAGGGGGGCTGCTCTGTTTCCCCTAAAGGGGCAGCTCGGGGGGGTGAAGCCTTCCCATCCTGCAGCCCCTCCTTCTGCCTGCACAAGGAATTCCTGCATTTAAAAACCTTGGAGTGATTTTGGTGAACCCTCCCACTTTTGGGGGGGTCACAGTGTGGCTGATTCCCATCTCTGCCCCTTCCCCCAGGTGTCCTGCTCGCCGCATGCCACGCGCTGGAGAACACCACAGCAGCCCGGAATGGTGAGTTTGCCAGTGGGAACTGTGGGGTATCCGTGTTTCCAGCCTGCCTGGGATCAGCCACATGGATGCTCTGGCATCCCATTCTCCTCCCTGCGGGATAACGGGGCCCTGGGTGGTATCCTGCCCCCTGGGTGGTATCCTGCCCCCTGGGTGGTATCCTGCCCCCGCAGGGGCTTGATCCCTAAGGAAGAACTGGGCTCTGCGGTGGGTGTTGTCCACACACCTTGCTTTTTGGGGGGAAATTCCTCAAAATCCTGCTGTATGACCACTCAGAAGTGTGTCCCAATGGGAAGCTGCTGGTGCCTGACAGTCCTGGCGGCACCAGGAGGATAAATTGGCTCATTCATGGAAGTGGCACAATGGGTCCCTTTGGGGCTGGACACCCTTTTCTTTTGGGGCTGGGAAACCCTTTGGGGTCTGGAAACCCTCCTTTTGGGGCTGGGAAAGTCAGCCTTTGAGGCAGGAAAACTTCCTTTGGGGCTCGAAAATGGAACAGCTCAATGGCATTGTTTAGGAAAGTGGTGCCAGGAGGCTTTGGAGCAAACCCCTGTGGTACTACCATCACCCTGAGGGTGCTGGCAGCCCTTTTGCTGATGGATGTGTGCCCAACCTCCCTTTGGGGCTGGGAAGACTCCTTTAGGGACTGGAAAATGGGATAGTTCAATGGCATTGCTTGGGAAGCATTAAAGGGAACTGTGCTGGGAGGCTTTGAGGTAAAACTCTGTGTCAGGAAAGGCACCCTGAGGATGCTGGCACCCCCTTTCCCAGTGAATGTGTTCCCAATCTCCTTTTGGGGCTGGGAAGTCTCATTTTGGGCTGGCAAATCTCCTTTTGGCGCTGAATAATGGGATGGTTCAACAGCATTATTTGGGAATGGGTGCTGAGAGATTTGGGAGCAAAACCCGGTGATGGGCTTGGCACTGGCATCCTGAGGGTGCTGGCAGCCCCTTTCCCAATGGATTTGTGCCCATCCCAGTGGGAGTTGATTTGAGAGGACACTGCAGGGACAGGGATCCTTGGGGTGGGAGGAGGAGGAGGAGGAGTTGGCTGCAATGTGGGCAACAGCTGGAAATGCCGAGGCTGAATGGGAGACAGGACACCCCAGGGTCTGTGCTGGATCCAGGGCTGCAACACAGGGACAAAGGGACATACTGCTTCTTCCAGCCCTGCTGATCCATCCTCAGCAATTCCAGGGGGCTCCGAGCCTGGGATGGGGAGCTTGGAATCCAGGATGGGGGGCACAGCAGGCACAGGCTTGGATTTGTGGGTTAAAACCCTAAAAAGGGGTAGTTTTGTAAAGATATTCCAGCCAGAAGGAGGAATCTGGGCTCTCCTGGGATAAATCCACCCCTGGGGATGGAGGTGTCAGGGTTTTCCTGGCGAGGCGCTGATTTTGGCAGTGATTCCCACTGTGAACTCCAAATCCCATCTTCTGGCTCCCTATGGATGCTGCTCTAGCTCTGACACCTCCAAGCCTCCACCGGTGCCCCTTCAGCGCCGGAGTCGGGGACATGGGAATATCCCTGTGGGAGCCATCCCGCTCCGTGGTTCCTCGCCTGGGCTCCCCGAGGACCCGGAGGCATTCCCGCATCCATGGCTTTAATTACCCTGGCCTGCCATAAATCCACGGCACAGGAACTTGAGGTGGCTTTGAAACGACAGCGATCGGATGTGCTTTATTCCCGGGATAATCCCAGCGCAGGATATTTGTTTCCCATGTCTGTAATTCAAACCAGCGTGGGATGTAATGGAAAACAGGATCCCGGCAAAGCCACCGGCTCTGTCGGAGCTGCAGCGACTCTGACGTTCTTTAACTCTCTCCTCCTCCATTTTAAGCTCTTTAGGAAATTCCTTCAGGATTATTTTCGGTGCTGGTTTAAGCAGGACCTGTCTGGACTCCTTTAGGTGGTCACTGGACTATATCCTACGTGCTGATCCCAAAATAAAGCCATCCAGCCCCAAAACAGAGCTGGGTAGGTGTTGGGCTTGGAAAATTCCCTAAAAATGCTATTTTGTCCTTGTTTTTTCTCCCAGGCCCACCGGTGGCAGCGGCCGTGAGGTCCCACTTCAATGACTGTCCCGACTCCCACAGCCAGTTCTGTTTCCACGGCACCTGCCGGTTCCTGGTCCAGGAGGACAAGCCAGCGTGTGTGTGAGTGCCGGGACCTCTGGGATGCAGGTCCTGGGGCTCCCTTGGCTCTTCCCTGCTCTGGGCCGGGGGGATCCCCAAAGAGCCGGGTTGAGCCTGGTTTCTCCGGTGACTCCGCTGTCCCTCCCCTGTGTCCCTATCCCGGGGTGACTCTGCTGTCCCCGTTCCCGGTGCAGGTGCCACTCTGGGTACGTGGGGACACGCTGTGAACACGCCGACCTCCTGGCCGTGGTGGCTGCCAACCAGAAAAAACAGACGATCACAGCCCTGCTCGTGGTGGCCGTGGTGGCCTCGGTGCTGCTTATCTCTGTCTGCGTCCTCATCCAGTGAGTACCCGGGGCTGGGGGCACCCCAGGGCATCCAGCACCTCCTGGATACATCCCGGGGAGCGGCCCTGGGACCCCCTGACTGCCCCCTCCCCCCTCCCTTCCAGCTGCTGCCGCCTGCGGAAGCGATGCCCCTGGTGCCGGGAGCCTGGAGGGGGCCAGGAGAAACCAGGGGGGCTCCTCAAGGGGGGCACCTCCTGCTGCCACGCCGAGACAGGTGAGGGCTGGGGGGACCTCCTGCTGGGACAGGGAGGGGACAGGGGGCACCTGAGGGGTGGCACCTCCTGCCACAGTGAGACGGGTGAGGGATGGGGACACCTGGGGGTGGCACCTCCTGCCGTGCCAAGACAGGTGCCCGGGGGGCACGACGGTGGGACCACAACCACCAGCACCCCCAGGGTATAACCCGCTCCCCCCTCCTTCCCCACAGGTGTGTGATGGAGCCAGGACCCCCCATGGACCCCGGGAATGGCATAGCACCTCTCCTCTGCTTTCGGTCTATTTTCTGGGATGTTTTCCCCCTTTTTCCTCATTTTCTCACCACCACGGAAGAAGCAAGGCAGGAATGTGCTCAGCAGCACCAGCAGAGCCACAGGGCCAAGCCCTGGCCTTGTGCCACTGGGCTTTACCTTTGGTTTTGGGTTGTTTTCCCTGGTTTTTGCCTCCTGGATGATTGTTTTTAAACCAGAACCCCGGCAAGATGGGGCTTTATTTTTCTACAGAGACAGAACCTCGGCAGCCACACAGCCCATGCTCATTTTGGGGACAAATACAAGCTTTTTATTAATAATAAAATGAACCTTAATCCTAGGAAACCTCCTCGGGCTGGAGCTCCAACCTCCAGCACAGCCTTAATCCTCCTCGTAGTCCTTTTCATAACCAACCTGGCACTCTTTCCTCTGTTTTTGGGTTTTTTTTGGTTTTTTTTTAAGTCATGGTTGCTCTCATGTCTTCTGTATATGTTGCACTGAAAGTTAATATTTAATGTTTTAATTTATTTTGTGTGGTTTAAATTAATTTTGATTCCTATAAATATGTTCTTGTGATTGCCTGGTCTTTTTTTTTTTCCCTCCTAATACCTCGATTAGAGTTATTTAAGTGATATAAAAGACACCTTTTTTCAGAAAACTCGTGGTTTGGGGCTTTTTTGGGGGGATAGTTGTGAAGGAGGTGCTGGGTCCTCTCACAGGGTGGGGGAGTATCCCCAGGGTGCAGGAGTGATGGGCTCAGCCCCCTTTTCCCTTGTCTTTATCCATAATCAGGAAGCCAAGAGTGAGGAACGGGTGGACCTACAGAATTTGGGGGCCTGATGGGCCATACCCCCAACCCCCCAGCAGCGTGGGGGATGTGTTTGGGGGAAGGCAGGCCAGAGAATTTGGGATACTGCGGGGTCTCATCCCTGACCCACCCTGCCAGCAGTGTCAGGGATGTGTTGAGGGGGGGAACCCAGCGAATCTGGGGTGTTGCTTTGCCTCCACGGCCAGGCTGGGGGGAATGACCTCAGTTCTTGTTCCGGATGAAGGTCGAGGATGGGGTGACCCCGGTCACTGCAGCACGTGGCGGGGGGGAGGTTGTATTGCCACCCCCTTTTTTTTGGGGGGTGGGCACTGCAGTGAGGAGGGCTGGCATTGCACCCCGCTCCTTCCCGTGCCCCCAGCCCGGGCTGTCCCCCCGAGCCCCCGGTGGTTCCGCCCCCGCTCCTGCCGGCCCAGCCCGGCCCCGTTCGGGGCGGGCCCGAGGCCGCGGAGCCGGGCGGGGATGGCGGAGGCGGAGGCGGCGCAGGGCCGCGTCCAGGCGGCCGTGGAGAGCGCGGTGCAGGGGCTGGAGCGGGAGCGGATCCGCGCCATGCAGGTACCGGGGCGGGGGGACCGGGGGACACGGCGGGGACAGGTCCGGGGGGCTCCGGGACCGCGCAGGGGCCGCTGCCGCCCCCCCCACACACGTGTGAGCCCGGGCAGCGCCGTGACCAGCCCCGTGAACCCCCCCGGCATCTTGTGCCCCCCAGCACACTCTGTGCAGGCCCCACACTGCCCCCCCAAACCCCTGTAATCCCCACTGCATCCACTGTGCCTGCCAAACACCCCCTCTGCCCCCCCAGTGCATCTCCTGTGCTTCCTAAATACAACCTGTGCCCCCCCAGTGTATGTCTCTGTCCCCACACACCCCCTATGCCCCCCAACAAACCCTGTGCCCCCCCAATGTGTCTTCTCTGCCCCCATACACACCATGTGTCCCCTACACATGCCCTAAATTTGCCCTGTCCCCCCCATTCCCAGGGCAGCTGCAGCCTCCGGGGGCTCCCACGGAGTGTGGGGAGCATCCCCCACGCTGACCCCCACTGACACCCCCCCCGACTGCCCCCTCCTTGCCATGTCCCTCTGGATGACCCCACTAACCCCCTCCATGTCTCTGGGGGTGCCCCCATTAACTCCCCGCTGCCTCAGGGGGTGTCCCCCCTCACCCCTGTCCCCCCGTGCCCAGGGTGCCATGTTCCGGTGCAGTGCCCGTTGCTGTGAGGACGGCTCAGCCTCCATGCAGGAGGTCCAGCGCTGCATCGAGCGCTGCCACCAGCCCCTGGCCCAGGCCCAGGCTATTGTCACTGCCGAGCTCGAGCACTTCCAGGTGAGACATCCCCTGTGCCCCCAGCACCCCCTGTGCCCCCAGCACCCCCCGTACAGCCCATGACCCCCCCAAATCCCTCTTTGCCCCCCCAGGACCGGCTGAGCCGCTGCTCTCTGCAGTGCCGCGACCAGGCCAAGGACGCGCTGGACTCGGGGGGCTCGGAGCCCAAGGTGAGGGGGCAGCTGGACGCCTGCCTGGCCTCCTGCGGGGAGCAGCACCTGCGCCTCGTGCCCCTCATGGCCAGGAAGATGAGGGACGGGCTGGCTGCCATCCAGCAGTGACGGGGGGACGCTGGGGAGACCCCCCCCAACAGCCTCATCAAAGGAGAGCTGCTGCGGGGACCTGGGAATTCCCAAAGCGCAGCTGGGACGCACTGAAGGACATTGGTACCACCCAAACCCCACTTGGGACCCCCCAAAATATACTTGGTGCAACCCAAAACTCACCTGGGACCCTCCAAATACACCTCGGAATTCTCAAAACGTAACTGGGATACATCAAAACTCACCCGAGATACACCAAGGACGTTGGCACCACCCAAACCCTGCCTGGGACCCCCCCAAAGTATACTCAGTACAACCCAAAACTCACCTGAGACACCCCCCCAAAATACACCTGAGCCAACTCTGGCTTCTCCTGTACCCCAAAATACAGCTGGGACCCCGCCCCCCAAATACACCTGGAAATTCCCAAAACACACCTGGGATACACCAAAAGATATTGGTACAACCCAAAACTCACCCCTGAAATACACCTGGGATTTTCCAAAACAGACGAGGACCCCCTCCCACGGGTGCTGGGGGTGCCCTGTGTGGGTGGTGAGGGTGGGGCTGGTGGGCACCAGGGATGCACCCCCACCCTGTGGCGCTCAGGGGAGGATGGATGGGCACACAGGAGAGGGCTGGTGGGGTGCACCACCAATTGAGGGGTTCGGGGGGCTGAGCTGGGGAGGGGGGCTGGGGGCACCCATGGCCCTGCTTGGACAGGGGGGAGCGCAGAGCGCTCTGTGCTGGGCGATGCTGGTGTGGAGTGACCCCCAATGTGCTGGGTGGGCGTGGGGGGCCTGCAGGGCTTGGGGGACCCCCGTGTGTGCTGAAGGCGTGGGGTGACTCCTGTCTGTGTGTGCACAGCGTGGCGCGGCTCCTGCACACGGGCACAGCCCCGGAGCGAGCCCCGGCCACGCACACAGCGTACACACGAGCGCACACACCGCACGCGTGTACAGGGCACACACACAGCGTACACACCGCACGGCCACACACACAGCGCACACAGGAGCGCACATACGTGCGCACCCCCGGCACACGCGTGTTCACACGCGTGTTCACACCCGCACCCCCCATGGCGGCCATACCGTACCTCCCGTGTAGCCTCGCACGCCCTTCCCTCCCCGCCGCGCAGCTACTCGAATCAGTGCGGTAGCGGCGCCGCGGCCGCCATTGGCTGGCGGGGATGCGGGCGCAGCTGCAATTGGCTGGCGGGGCGCGGCGGCGCCGGGGCGCGGTGACGTCAGAGGCAGCGCGCGGCAGGGCCGGTCCGAGGGCACCATGAGCAAAGCGCACCCTCCGGAGCTCAAAAAGTGGGTGCGGGGCCGGCACCGCCGGGGGCCGGGCCGGGGGCGAGGGGCCGGGGGAGCGCGGGGACCGCCGCTCGGCGCTGTCCCTGCGCCGCGCTGTCATGGCGGCGGGCCGGGGGTCGCACGGGTGTGATGGCGGCGGTGGAGTGGGAGGGGGGGGCTCTCTCCCCGTTTCCCCCCTGCCAGTGCTGACCCGGCCGCCGTCCCGTCTCGTTGCAGGTTCATGGACAAGAAGCTGTCGTGTGAGTCCCGCGACTGATCCCGCCCCCGCGGGGGGAACGGGACCCCCGCTCGCCTCGCCCCCCCATGGTGCCCGGTTTTGGGGACCTCCCCCAGCCCCTGACCCGCTCGCAGTGCCCGGGAGCTCCCCCCTGCCTCGCTCCCTCTCATGGCCCCTGCTATCACGGCTCCCCACTTACCCCAGTCCCCAGCACGGCCCCTGATTTTGGGGACTCCCTCACAGTGCCCAGGGAGGAGGGTCCTGCCCAGCACAGACCAGACCCCCTGGAGCAGACCCCTTGCCTAATTTCAGGCTTCATAACGCAATAATTTAAATTAAAATCCACTGAAGTTACAACCCATTAAGACCTAATACAAAAATTTAAGTATGATATTAATTTAAAACTCCCTTTGTCCCCCTCTCTCTCCTCACCCACCCCACGGGCTGCACTAAACCCTCCCCATTAACACCCCCCACTCACGTGTCCCACCCTCCCAAGCTGCAGTTTTGGGGTTTGCCCTTCCCTAACACCCCTGGGTTCCCCGCAGTGAAGCTGAACGGGGGCCGGCACGTGCAGGGGATCCTGAGGGGCTTTGACCCCTTCATGAACCTGGTCATCGACGAGTGCGTGGAGATGGCGCCGGGCGGGCAGCAGAACAACATCGGCATGGTGGTGAGTGCCCCTGGGGCACTGGGACGGACTGGGGGGCACAGACGTGGCTGGCATGGGCAGAGCAAGGCACAGGTGTGGTGAACTCTTGGCCGGGAAATGGATGGATGGATGGATGGATGGATGGATGGATAGGAGCAGGGATCGTTGGGAATGGAGCTACCTTCAGCAGTGCTGGGCACCTGTGAATCCCCAGGGCTCAGGACTGGCCCCAGTCCATTTGTCGGTGATCTGGGTGAGGGGATCGAGTGGCCCTCAGTAAATCCATGGGTGCTCTGGGCTGGGTGATAAGGTGGGCATCAAACACAGGGTGGACTCAATGACCTTGGAGGGCTTTTCCAATCTCAGTAATTCTGGGATTCTGTGATCCATGGGGGCTTAGGGTTAAAATCAGTTTTCATCCTTGGGGGGAATTCTGGTGGATTTGTGAAGGATCAGCATTTTGGGGAAATAATGTTGAGGGAAGGACCCTCAAGTTTGAGGTCACAACTGCTGCACTCTCAACTTTCCCCTTCCAGGTGATCCGAGGGAACAGTATCATCATGCTGGAAGCTTTGGAACGAGTATAACCCTGGAAAAACCTGAATCCCGACCCACCGGTTCCGTTTACTCCCCCAGGATGATACCCACGAGTATACAATTATTTTGGTTTGTTTTTAAATAAATTTTGTAATGGTTGGCATAACTCATCCTTGCATCATTTTTTGGCAGCTGGGTGTTAATTCCACTCCCAATCCAAGGAAAACTCAAGGAAAACTTTATAGGAGGCTGAATTTATTGAAGAGGGTGTTAAATTTGTGCTACTACTGGTGTTATTCATGTTATTTCATGATCTTAAAAAATGTTCAGGCCAAGAAATTTTTTAACTCCTTCACACCCCAATACAGTGATGGGTATTTGTGGTTTCCTTCTTTCCCACCCATTTGAGCAGCTCCCAGCACACCAGTCCCCCTCCCAT